TGATTGTCCACTAGCACATCTTGAGACTGGCTGTGACTTTCTGGTTGAGAAAGGCATCCTGAGAGGATGAAGTTGAAGAAAGATTATTTGCCCCAATATGCTTAACATATAATGATGGAACAAACACAGGAGAATAACAATAGATGTTCTGGTTCAAATAGGATAAAATTCAAGATTAAAAACTTAAAAAGTCTCTGGCTAATGACATTTCTGATATCCAGCCCAGCCAATATTGGGAATCTAATGACTAAGTTTCAAAGCCTGGGAATACTTCTCCATGGTTTTCAACTTCACCCTCTTAGTTCTGTCTTCTGAGACATCATTCATTTTTGATGAAAGGCAGCACATGTTGTAGCTGAGTAACTTATCAGCCTGCTTCCTGCCAATTGAATTTTGGAAATCTAATGGCCTCTTTTCATTTTACACCCATTTTGTCCCTTTCATTCCAAGTTGTCAGTGTTTTTGCTGAAAGAGGTTTCTCAAAAACTTGCAAGTCTTCTGTGAATTTCACTGGTATTCACTCCATTAGAAATAAGCCTTATCTTCATATCTTTCCAAGATAATCCTTTCTCTATTTAAGGCTCATGCTAAAATGACTTGACAGGCAATGCCTTTAAATTCCTGGAGGCTCTCTGGTTTAATTGAAAGGATGGGTGAGACGCACCCTTACTCACCTTTGTCTAACGGAATAATCTGAACTTTTCATGTTTCTGAGGTTTTAGCAAAGGTTCTCATCATCGCACACTCAGCCTTTTCCATCGAGCTTACTTTCCTGACAGTGAATCTCTTAATTTCAGTGTCTTTTGCCATCTGTGTGGCTTCCCTGGTGGCTCAGATGGTAAAGAGTCTACCTGCAATGCAGGAGACCCAGGTTTGATCCCTGGATTGGGAAGATACCCTGGAGAGGGGAATGGCAACCCACCTCAGTATTCTTGCCTGAAGAATTAATTCCACGGACAGAAGAGCCTGGCAGGCTGCTGTCCATGGAGTCACAAAGAGTTGGACCTGACTGAGCGACTAACACTTTCACTTTCTTTGCCATCTGTAGAGTTGATTTTTAAATCAAGCCTTATTTTCTTTTTGAGTTTCCCTTGTGGCTCAGCTGCTAAAGAATCCACCTGCAATGCGGGAGACCTGGATTCAATCCCTGAGTTGGGAAGATCCCCCGGAGAAGGGAAAGGCTACTCACTCCAGTAGTCTGGCCTGGAGAATTCCATGGACTGTATAGTCCATGGGATCGCAAACAGTCGGACACGACTGAGCAACTTTCACTTCACTTCACTTATTTTCATTTTACTTGGCAGTTTTCACCTCAGTTTCCCTCCTCTCCCCAACCCCCTCTTCCCCCTGCTTCTGATTTTACCATAAGTGGCAAAGAGAAATCAGATGGCACTTTGACAGCATTGCTTGGAAATTTCTTGCACTGTCTATACAACCTTGTTGCTTAAAAATGTGCTTCCCACATAGCTGCAGAATACAATTAATTGCACTTTGCTTTCTGCCAGCAGGGTGAGGATCCATCTTCCTCCAGCTCCCAGTAACATGTTTCTCATTGTCTTCTGTTACTGGACACAGTGGGTCAGTCCGTCATCCCTTGAAGTGCTTAGGCAATGAATACACCAAGTACTTCTGATTAAAACAGAAGTATTTATTATTTGTGACAAGAGACAGGGAGATGGCTCACAAGACACTGTCTCCCAAAACAGGAAGATGAGTGATGTTTTCAGCTGTGAGTGCATACATTTTCATGACAGAGTGAGTGTAACCTTCTGTTTATAGGTGGAGTTCTAGATGGGCTTGCACAATGCAACAACATGCTCAAACATAATCGCATGTTCAAAAATGGTAACAATCCCAGCCCTTAGGGTAGAGATTTTAACATTAAAATGAAGGAAAAATCACTCCAGGTTGACAAAATTCAGGTACCTAGTTGAGTGAGGTCATGAGGGTCAGCAGAGATCACCAACATCATTCCTTAGGCTCCAGTTAATCTGGCGGCTCAGTGCTCGAGGGGATTTGGATCCTGCAAAACAACTTAAGAATGTGCTTCAGACTCTGATCTCTACCTTTGGAATAGAAATGGTAGTCTTTTGACTAATTTATTATCTTTCCTGTGGTTACTTCTCCTCCTTAATAACAGTCATTTGTTCCTGCCTTTTTTGTTATACTTAAAAAGCATTATTTACCAAGACCTAGACTTTGTTTCCGTATGAAGCCCCAGGAGGCCATAGTTCATCTTTTTCCCAGTCATCAGTAAACAGAACACAAATGGGTTCTAAAATCTATGTTCCAGTTCTCAACCTAAATTTGTCTAGCATATGTTGCAGCTTCTTTCATTGCCTATTATTTGACCTCACCCCTTCCTTATTACTGTCTGGCTAGCACTTCTGAACTCTCACCAGCAGTGTCTGTAAAGTCCAGATTTCAATGAAAACTCTGTTGAAGGCATTCAGGCTTTCTCTGTCATGCCAGTCAAATTCTTACAGTCTCCTCTCACTATCCAGTTCCAAAGACATTCCACATTTTAGATGTTTGTTATAGCAGCAACCCACTTCCAGGTATCAAACTCTGTATTAGTTTTCAATTGTTGTACAACAAATCACCACAAATATGGTGTCTTAGAACAATAAACATTTGCTGTCTCGTGCTCTCCAAGGCTCAGGTGTCCAGGCACCACCTAGCTGGGTCCTCTGCTTTTGGTCACACAAGGCTGAAATCAAGGTAACAGCTGGGCTGCATTTTTATAAGGAGACTTGAATTTAGGTGGCTTCCTTGGGGGCTCAGATGGTAAAGCGTCTGCCTACAATGCAGGAGACCCAGGTTTAATCCCTGGGTCAGGAGGATCCCCTGGAGAAGGAAATGGCAAGCCACTCTAGTACTCTTCCCTGGAAAATCCCATGGACAGAGGATCCTGGTAGGCTACAGTCCATGGGGTCACGAACAGTGGACACAACTGAGCGACTTCACTTTTCACTGAGTTTAGGAAATTACTTGCTTTCAAGCTCATGAGAGTTGTTCACAGACTCTTTCTTGCAGCTGTACAAGGACCCCAGCTTCTTACTGGCTGTGAGCTAGAGGCCTCAGGTCCACATTAGTCCCCTGGTGTGTGGCACTTTCACAGGCCCTCTCTGAATGTACAGTTTATTTCTTCAAGAGCAGAGAAGAATCCTCACTCCAGTCTGCTAAGATTGAGTCTTAAATAATGTAATGTAGTCATGGGAGTGACATGATATGACTTTTGTCATATTCTCTTGATCAGAGGCAAATCACAGGTATGGCCTACACCTGAAGGAAGTACAAGGCTGTGACTCATTGGGAGTCACCTTAGAGTATGTACCCCAGAGGTGGTATAGGAGGCTGAACAATGTCCCCCCAAGATAGCAAGTTTAGAAGCCTTGGAAACTGTGAATGTTACTTTACTGGGGGTAAAAGAGGGAATTTGCAGTTATAATTAAGATAGAGACCTTCGTAGCATGTGCTCGGTTAGTCATATCTGATTCTTTGCAACTCCGTGGACTGTAGCCCACCAGGATCCTCTGTTCATGGAATTTCCCGCAAGAATACTGGAGTTGGTTGCCATGCCCTCCTCCAGGGAATCTTCCCGACCCAGGGATCAAACCAGAATCTCCTGCATTTTCTGCATTGACAGGCAGATTCTTTACTACGTGTCACCTCAGAGATCTTCAGATAGAGATTATCCTGGATTATTTGTGTGGGCAGTGAGAGTCAGACATGACTGAAGTATCTTAGCCCCAGCCCAAAGGCAATCTCATGTATTCTTATAAGGGGGCAGAAGATTGGACATGTACACAGAGGAGAAGGTCATGTGAAGGTGGAGTAAAGAGAAATTTGAAGATGTTGGCCTTTATTGAAGATTAAAGTGATGTGGCCACAGCCAAGTAATGCTGCCAGCCATATTCTCTTCCTTGAGCCTCTGTGGAATGTATGATTTTTTTCCAGTAATACTGATGTTACTCTTCTGGCCTCCAGAACTGTAACAGAATAAATTTCTGTTTCAAGCCACCCAATTGGTCATAGCTTTGTTGCGGCAGCTGTAGGAAATTAATACAGATGGATATTAATTGATACATCTTTGTTGCTTTTTGATGTATTTCACTGGTTACTCAATCAGGTTAAGTATCTTAAGATTCTTGACTGTCCATGTGTCTTCTTCTAGATGAGTTTGTCAGTTTGTTTTTTCTCTCTCTTTTTTAAAAATAATTATTCATTTTCTTATTGATTAGTAAGAATTCTTTGAGCAGTGTAATTACTAAATCCTATACCCATTACCCATGTTACTAAAGAGATATTTCTTTCAATCTATAGATATTTCTTTCAATCTATATTTTGTCTTCCCCCCCCATATATATATATGTACATAGTGTCTTCTGCATTCAGATTTGTATACTTTTTTTTTAAACTATGGAAAAATTTAACATACCCCAAAGAAGAGCAAATAGTAATAATACATCTTCCATGTGCATAATCTTCAACAACTACTGGTATTTTTCCCAGAAGTATCTTATCCTTTCCTTTAAGTTTTGTGCCTTTTGTGAATTATCTAAGAAATACTTAAATAAAGATCATATTGCTATTATTTGTGTAACTGAGTGTTTCTAACATGATAAAACACTCATTCTTTTTGTCGTAACACTTATTCTAGCTTTTGCTTTTTTAAGAAAATAAGTGTTAATGCTTTATGTGGAACAATTTCTAATATATACAAAGCATTATTGATTGTACCCATGTTAACCAACACCTTCTTCCGGAACAGCATGTACTTTTATTATTCAGCACAAGCTATTAATTCAGATCCTGGGAACTTGCCAATTGTCCCAACAATACCTGTGTGTCACCACAGAGCTTATTGAAAACCCCAGTGTCCTTTTAAGAAGGCTGATCAATCATTCAGGAAATGTAGAAATATAAGCATGAGTCAGCCATGCTGGCCTTGTGCTGTTGCAAAGTAATTGCTCTCAATTTTCCCCCCTTATTTCTAGCGTGCCACCTGGGCTTGAAGGTGTGAAAGAACAAGATCTCTGCAACAAGATAATGGCTAAAATATTAGAAAATTACAATACCCTGTTTGAAGTAGAGTGTATGGAAAATGATAACCAGAGGTGTGAAAACCTGGCAAGGCTAATCATAGTAAAAGTAAGTCAACTTTGATATTTAATTTTTAGTATTGCTAATTTTGAATGGTAATCATTCTGTCATAAGAAATTCCTTATGAATACCTTCAGATGATTATTCCTGTGTTTGTTGAGTCCTTTTTATGAAATCTGTTCTTTGTGTTGTTTGTGAAACTTATATATATTCTTCCAAGACTGAAGAATAATTGTGGTTTGATGTTTCCTTGCTGCTTTAAGATATCTCAAAAGCACTTACGTGAGCCCAGTGCTGTGGTCAGTTGTGTGCACCACATTTTTATGGAAGCCTCGTGTTACAGCAGGGATACGTGCTTAAGTCTGTATCCACCAGTGTTAGCTTACTGAGTAAGCTGCAAATTCCTGAAGACAGTATTATTCTGTCTTTTTGTCTCTCTTGTGCCTGGCACACTTCCAAGTTCAACTTCAGATTGAAAGTCCCATATATATGATCCTTGGTAACTATCACCAGTACTGAGCGTAGTTTTAAAACTGATAAAGGAATCTTGACAATAGTCTCTAAATCTTTTTATATACTGGCTGATAATGTATAACGTATCATTAGGTAAATGCATGTAAGTCTCTACAGATTTACTATTGAGAGTCAGAGGATAATCATCGAAGTCAAGTGCTTTAGGTAGCGACTGGAGGGAGGGCATCTTATTCCTTTCTCATAAATCTTGATGGAACTGATAGGGGAGGTTCCTCAGGAGGTATCCTGAGACTTAACCACATTACAGACCACACTATACTCTTGTTGATTCATATGGCCTTCAGTGGTAAAACTGGAGGCGCTTGGTTTGGGCACTGAAGGGGTATTTTCATCTCTTCTTCCAGTTGAGGCATGACTTTGAAGAAGAAATGAAAAAATAAGGGCTATCATGTGGCACTCAACCAAAACAGCTAAAGAAGGCCAAAGTGAGCTTTTCTTAACTAGGGCTTATGTGTGAATACAACAGACTCCCTGTAAGAAATGGAGTACATATGAGAGGAATGCATTTGGTGGGAATCTTGCCAACCTGATAAAGAGAACTTTAAACTGAAATTTGTGGGAAGGGAAGAACAGTGCCCAGATACAAGGAGCTGCTTTGGAGAATATCAAGTGTAGTCTAAGATGAAAGTAACATGGTAGCTGAGAAAATATCAGGGATTCACAAGAGAATATTTTTTTTTAAAAAGTGTATCAATTTTGCTATGAAAAATAATTTTAAATAGAAAAAATATACCTTAAATATGTTTCTTCTAATTCCAATAATGCTTTCTAGAGGGTCTCTTTTTCAAACATTAAAAAATGATTGACTTTGTTTCAGCTGTATCTCTGATAAACACTTTTTAACACATATGTTTTAACTAAGGCTGATAAGATAGTATAGTAAACCTAAAATAGAATAAAAATAAATTTGTATGATTTTGTAGGCAAGAGAAACTTGCTGAGATACCAATAATCACTAGAATATGCCAACAGGAGCTTAAATGTTGTGTAAATAAAATAACACCTGTTGAGATCTTTGGCAGAGTGCCCTGTTTGGAAATCCTTGAGTTGCTAGGTTTAAATATGAGCATACAAGAAAGATAAAGTAATAATACTGAATGAATCAAATATAGATATCTCAGGTGGTTGAATATGACTGCTACTCTCCTAATGCAAGTTTCACACCTGGCCTAGAAGCAGATGAATGTCCTCATTGGAAACTCGATGTCTATATGTTGAAGCATCATTCTGTTAAACCAGAATATTTAATGTGTTTTTTTGCTGAACTTGATAATAGTCTTGTCTCTCACATGGTAAATAAAGCATCAAGGGAGCGTGGTTTTCTGGACTTAATTATAGCCAATAAAGATGTAGTGGAAGTTATGGAAACTAGTTTAATGGGATGGACCAGGGCCATTTTAAGATCCATAACAATAAAGAATACACTAACTATGGTTAGATATGTATACCTGGACATTGTTTAGAAAGCAGATTTTTCTAAAATTCCTAAGATCATACAAACATTGGGAATAAGCCAAAAGGAAGCTGGATTGAAAAGGGATTGGGAGGTTCAGAGTGGTATCATTAACATACTGGAAAATGGAAGAGCAACGAGGAAAACCAAGGTTTCATTCTCATGAGTTCAGTTTCTGGAAGGATGTAGCCAAAAAGAGGAAACGGGCATAGAACAAGTGATAAATACTCTGAAGTGAATGAGACATGAAACATCTGAGCTGAGAATAAACTGAGGCTCCTGAAAAGTACTGAGACAGAGAAAAGGGTTTTTAAGGAGGCAAAGTACTAAACATACCCACTGACACACCTCTGTGCCCCAGGGTAGGACACGAAGTGTTAGATGATGTTCTCATGTCCCTTGTGGGCTAAATGAAAATTGGGGCCCAGACACATATAAATTTGGATTCATTTGGACCTGGATGAAGAACTTTTTCTGAGTGTTGGAATCTAGATTGCTGTTTTGTTCAGGGGTGGTCTCTATAATTGTTTGTGTAAATTCTCAGTATTTTAACAAGCACATACTTAGCCCTTTTGAGAGTGAAATAAAGCTGGAAGAATAGGTCAGACACTCACTGGGTGGCTGGATATGTAGACCAAGAAAATGTGTGTGTGTGTGTGTGTGTGTACACGGCCCTTCCCCTATTTTTCCTTGCTTAACAAGAAAAAAATCACCTGCTTTATTTGAGCCTGCAGCAGTGTGCTGAGGTCAGACAGGCCCCTCCCTCAGCCCCAACAGTTGGATAAATCATAAATGGTCCATAATACTATCGTCTTTAGTCAGTGATTGACTAAATGGTGTCTACTGTGACACAGTTCAGGCCTAAGAGATGAAAGGGAAAGTGTGCTGGGGGCAGATGGCTTCAAGGAAGTATTTTCATCCCTGATTTCAGAAAAGAGAATGATGTGAGAGATCAGAGTTGTGGTTGCCTCTGGGTGGAGTTATCCTGCTTTCAGATGTTCTCATGGGAAGGCAGAATGCAGGGTGCCGCTGCCACCACCTTTTGCCCCTGATGAACATGCTGCTGATTCACTGAGGTTGGCAGCTAAAAGAGAAAAAAGCCTCGGTTCCTCCTCATTGCTTGCCTGCTGAGCCAACCCTCAATACACATACCTCTGAACTTTCAGTTACACGAGGGAAGTAAATGCCCATATAAGATGAACTACTTTTAGTTTAGCTGTCTGTCTCTTGCAACAAAAACATCATGTCTCATGGAATCAGCACAGCTGGAAAGTCCTGGGTTTAGTTTCATAGCCAAAAGGAGAGCAAAATTAGTTATTAATAGTTCAATTAAAAGCCATACATGAATTTCACCTAACGTCTAACACGGTATGAGATGTCAGTATGACATGATTGCCAACATTTAAAAAACAAAAACCCACAGACTGATTTACTGTGTGTACCAATAGTACTTAGAATAAAGAATGTAGGTATCCTTGAGCTTGGTATAGGTCAGGCAGTATCTGTAGTATTAATTTTATTTCGAATACTGCATTCACACTGTCCTGACAATCCCCACTGGCCATCGTTTATCTTCACTAAAATATGTATTTGCCATGGTGACTGTCGTTTACTTTACTCATCGTCCTACTGATGACTTCGAAATCATAACTAGACCCAACCTATCAGAAGAACAGTAGAGCCATATTTCTCACTACCCATAACACACCATACGGTGCCTGAAATTTCTCACACCCACAACATCATCTCTAAAAGTTTGTCTACATTCTTCACTCTGCAGCCTGAATTTCTCAGCCTGTAGCCTGCTGAGCTGGAAACCTTAGTTTGCCCTTACGTGTTTTCCTTTACCATTCCCACAGGGACTAACATTCTGCCTTAGACATTTCCCTTAAACTGGGTGACTTGTGTCCACCCCCTACCACTGTTTTAGATTAGGCCCTTTTCTTTGTTTTTCTTTTTTGTTAGTCACTCAGTTTTGTCCAACTCTGCGATGCACGGACTATAGCCCGCCAGACTCCTCTGTTTGTGGGATTTTCCAGGCAAGAATACTGGAGTGGGTTGCCATTTCCTCCTGCAGGAGATCTTCCGGGCCCAAGGATCGAACCCAGGTCTCCTGCATTGCAGGCAGGCTCTTTACTATCTGAGCCACCGGGGGAGTCCCTTGTTACTGCCACACAATTTCAAACTGTTCTGCCACTACTTCTCGACTCACCCTATCCCCATCTCCTTTCTACCAGTGATAGAATGATGTTCCCTCAAAACGAATCTTACTATATCATAGTCTTGACTTAAGTAAATAAACCCTTTGCCATTATTGTTTTGCCTTCCCCCACTTTTGCTGACAATAGACCATCAAGATTTCTTTACATGGAATTTAGACCCTTTATACTTTGTCCCCACACCAAATTTTCCTTATTAAATGCTTGAATGAATTTTGAATTTTACTTGTCTTCTTCCTATGTCTCTGACCTCTCTTCCATCTCCTTTGAGAATTCTTCCTTTGCGTAGTCAGAATTAAACATTATTTCCTAAGTTCACTCTTAGGTCTTCAACCTAGAGCACTCCCTGGCACACCATACATCTACATCTACCTATCTAGTGCTCACCTGTACCTGCATGCCCCATGGATTGTCTCATCATTTTCCTTGCCTTTGAAGGTTTGAATACTCCATTTGATGGGCATAATGAATGGCCCATCCGTCCACATAATCACTCCAGGTTGATGTCCATCAGTCACTAAAACGTGTTTATTCTATTGCTTAAGTATCTCATAAATCTCTCCCACCCTCACTGGTGCTTCCTTATTGCCTCTCATCCAGCCAGGAGAATTCTACACCTGGCCCATTAGCACATTCACCTCGTGACCCAGATTGAGTCAGAAAACTCATGGCAGGTCTCCCAAATCTGTATTTTATTAAGACTTCCTTGACAATTTTAATACTCAGCCAAATTTGGGAACTGATTCATTCTCAGGACTCTGCTGCAATAGCCTTCTTGCTGGTTTTCCTGACTCTACTCTGCCCCTTGACACGGTCTTCCCTCTTCTGCTGCCTAAGGCACT